CCCCCTCTGGATGACTAAAATGTCCTTTGCATCTAAAAGGGTTAATGTGAAATGTGACCCTCTGATGTTACACATTGTAAAATCACGAAGTACTGAAAGTAGCCTGCCTTTTATCTTAATAATGTGTTAACACAAAATGAGGGCAGACAATCTAGTTTTAACTAAATTTTAAAACATTTTAAGTCCAACACACTCCCCTTGACAAGCAAAATCACCATGCATGCAGGGGTTGATTATTCGAAAGCCGATAAGTTAACCTTAGATTAAGCAAATTTCCTAACAGTTTGTTTATAAATTTGGAAATATTTTTTTGACATCTTGTCTGGATCAGCACCATAGGAGTTTTGTTTTCAAAATTTAAAAAAAAAAAGATACTACATGTAGAAAGACATAAATTTTAATTACGGGTTAATCCGGCGATCATCAACTAACACCTGGTGTGACACCGAAGTCAAATATAAATTAAATTGGGGTATATAAATGCTAATAATAACTGAGACATGCACAGACAGTCTGTTAATCCATCACAACATCACATCTTAATGGGTTCATGGAAAACGGTAAATCTCTGACTACAAATCCTGGGCTTATACAGGCGGGGGTACAGTTATATACAAGGGATAGAGCTTACACATGGAAAATCTTTTTTGTTAGTATAATAAACCAGTCAGTCATAAACAAGAAAATAAACATGTTGTAATAATGCACTTTGATCAATTTATGATTTTGACTTAAGCTATAAAGACAATGTCTTTAAATATTGTCCTCTGCTACTGTATATTAACCCGTTGAGGCACAACGCGCCCTATAGTGCGCTCTACATTTTTTGACTTGTCTAGCGCCAAACGATTTTACTCGTCATTGGGGAAACTCTACAGCTTAATGGGTTGAACAAAAAATCTGACAATGCCTCTGGTAAACTCATTAAGCCACAATGCGCCCCAGTATGCCTTACTTATTTCTTTACTTGTTTAACACCAGACGATTTTACTTGTCAATGGGGAAACCCTGCAGCTTAATGGATTAATGAAAAGACATAGCCAATGTTGAATAACATAGTGGGCTACTGGGCTTATATTTGGGGGGGGGGGGCTTATATTCGGTATGAGGTGAGCGTTAGTACATGTGGTGGGCTTATATATGTGGGGCTTATATTTGGAGGTTTACGGTAGCATAGAAAATTTCCCTGGCACTTAACACCCATTTATCAGCAACAGTCTGAGTTGTATAGGTTTTCATTGACTGGTGCATAACACCTCTAATAATGAAATAGATTTTTTCATTGATTGAAAAATTTGGACATAAAAAAACCTAGATATATAAAAATTAGAAACTTATGAAAATAGCAGTTGATTTGAAACAAGTGGTTACATTTTCTAAAACCATGTTTGGCTGGGGCATGTACATGTGTAGGTGAGCATATGATGTTTGAATAGATGCCAAGCCATGTCTATACTTTATCAGTTACCTGTATTTCAGATATTAATGGTGTGCTAAACACAGATTAACCTCTTAGAAAATAAATAGTCCCAGTAATGCTCTCACTACATGCGAAGGAATAAAATACTACACAACAAATATCAATCGGTTATTAGACACGTAAAACCGATATCGCCGCAAAGTCAATATCGCCATTCAAATCTACTGTATATACAAAAAACATATTATATCATACATTACCGTGATTGATGATTGGATTTATTGTATGTTACTGAAAAGCATTTTCAGTACACACCCTGCACGCGTGTTTTCCAAAATCGGTGTAGGGTGTGTTATCTAACACACCTAGATGTGTTTTTCCAAATTAGTATGTGTTTTCATTAAAAAAGTGTGTTATTGAACACACCTTATAATATGCATCAAAGGTGTGTACGGAAAGGTGTGAAAAATACAGGTGTGCTTCTTAGCACACCTAGGTGTGTTTTGTTACACATCATGGTGTGTTTTCTAACACACAAAGGTGTGTTTTCTAAAATTGTATAGGAAGGTGTGTAATATGTGCACACCTTGGTGTGTAATTAAACACACCTTGGTGTATAATTGAACACACCTGTTTTTAGAGTGATAAATTTAAGTCCAAAAGGGAGTTCGTTTTCAATGGTTTTAGACCCAACTCTCCACTGTTAAAATATGCGATTCTGACTAACATTTTTTATCGGATTCGTATTTACTCAATTTTTATCAATTTGGCATGAGTAAGATATCATTCAACAGCTAAAAGCATGCATGAACTTTCCTAATGTAAAACAATTTCTTCATACACAGAGTACTTCGGATACAATAGCGCGCTGAAGTTCGATTACCTTTTTTTTATACACTCTGTATATGGTAGTGAGCACTGTTTGTGGTTCGTAAACCAAAATATATATATATATATATATATATATATATATATATATATATATATATATATATATATATATATATATATATATATATATTTATATATATATATATTGGTTTGTTACGTATGTAGGCTATACTTTACGCTGTAACCTAAGAATTCGGGAAGCAGGCGTACATAGATGTTCATTCTGAACTTATTAGAAGAATTATTTCGGCCTGTAATTTCATATCCGCAATAATAATATTCATGATTGTTTTGTTTCTTCTGAAAGTGATACATCAGGAGTGCAAACAATGGAAGTACAAGTTCCTGACACCATCACCAGTTGGGTTGCAAATGGTTTCGCCATGTCCTCTGTCTATGGAATGGGAATCTCAAGTCAGGCGATGATGAAAGCTTTTCAACCTTTCTTTGTTAAAATCACTCTCCCATATTCTGTAATTCGTGGAGAAGAAGTACCTGTCACAGTCACTGTATATAACTATTTATCCTCCTGTGTTCCAGTAAGTGTGCGCTTTTGTTTTAGATTGGTCTTTATAAAAAAATAATGTTTTATTTGTCAGCATCACTAAAACAAATATCAATAAAATTATTATAACAGTTATGTTGTCGTGCCAAAATTATTCTGTAATTTATACAGTAAGTTTGTCTATAATTTGATAGTTTATCAAAAATAAATTGTGTAGAGTAAACCCGTAAGACCTGACGTTACCAAGTCAATTGTAGTAGATTTTGCATGTACAGTATACGTCGTGTAAACATTTCTAGAAATATCCTTTTAATTAAATTGTGTGGAAATCGTTTACATAATAATTACAACACAACACGACTTTTGCAGAGTTATTTATAGTAATTGGTTGAAGAATTTAATAATTTTGGTTAATTTCTGCTCCAAAATTTCGTCTCCCTTCCATTATAAACAAACATGTACCCTATTTTCCCGTTTTTCGGTCCAATTACTTGAACATTTTTCAATGACTCTTTTTTGGTGCTTGTGTTGCTTTCATGTTTCTTTGTAAAACATTATTTCCATTTTCAGATAAAACTCACACTCAGTCGCGAATCTAAGGCCTATGAAGTGACGTCATTCCACATAAGCAAAATGTGCGTGTGTGGAGATGATGGAATGTCAGTCAAGTTCAAAATTATTCCAAATAAACTTGGTCGTATACCACTTACAGTTAAAGCTATAACATCAGAGGCAAGACTGTGTCCTAATTCAACAGTCTACGCGGCCGATGCTGTCACCAGAAAGTTATTAGTGGAGGTACTGTAAGATATATGTACTATTCATACTAATACTGGTTTACTAAAGTAATTATAATTTATACTCGTAGATTATAAAGGAAAGCGCGCAATCTGATCGCTGTTCAAATCAGCACAGCTGGAATTATCAACCTGGACAGGAGACGTTTCCAGTTTAGAAAAGTTTGCGAAAAAAAGGATTTTGCTACAATCCTTTCTGAACAATTTCCTCAAAATTTTTCTTCGCAATATGAACTGCGGACCAATTTTCCATGTACATTATAAATGTAACTACATTTATAATGTACGTGGAGAATCGATCCGTAGTTCATATTGTTACGAATTAAATTTTTTAGGAAATTGTTCATCATTTTGAATTTTTTGTCGACAGTACAATGTACATGTCTTAAATCAATGCAATGAAGAATAAATGTAGAGGAGAACAACATTATTTTCTTCCTGTGCAACTACCATCGAACGCAGGCATGTTGAAATCGCATGTTGTTATCTTGAATTATTCCATAAAATCAGAGTTGACGATTAAAAACAACCTTATTTAGCCCCAATGATATGTTATGAGTGATAAGGATTGTTATTCTCTAACTCCACTGCAATCGAAGGAAATTCCTTCGGATCGAAAGTATCTTTCCTAATTTTTCGGCTACTTATATCCTATTCATGCGCGTAAATTGTACTTTTTACTACTTTCACTGGCACCCAACATTGGATTTTAACACAGCTTTTGAAATATAAGCATGAAGTCTTGTTTATTAATAAACAAATAGTTAGCTGCTCATTTTGATATCAGTGCGACGAAGATGCCTCTCATGGTGGTATGTCAGCATATTTTGAGAAACAGCAATGAATAATTTCGTGCCATATCTTTTCGTTTAGCCTGAAGGAATAAAACAACAACATAGTAAAGGAACATTCTTTTGTGCTACTAAAGATGGTAAATATTAAACACATAATCCAAATATAACGTACAATGGAAATGATAATTTATTCCAAAAGCGGTTTTGTGTGGTATAAATCGAGTTGGTTATACATGTTTCAGTGGTTTATATTGACAAACGTTGCGATGTTCAATATCGATATTTATCTTTTTTTCTATCCAGGCATATACAACGAAATGATTGATTTAGCTCTGCCTACAGAGATCATTCCTGGATCCTTACTACCAAAGATATCGATTGTTGGTAAGCGTCAAGTTTTATTTGACAAGTTTTATTTGAACAAGTGCATTGGATCAAATGCTAGCAAGCTATAGCATTTGTTCAAATGCATGCATTTTTCATAATAAATTTGTCAGAGAATTAGCTTGTAAAAGACCTATTACAAATAAACATTGTTAACAATATTACGATCACCTTATCAATTTTTATATCGCTGCAGGTTTTGTTTGATTTGGCGAAACGTTTTATTTTACGAGGAGGAAGACATACATCAGTATTAATAAATTGAATAGTTCGAATTGAATAGTTGGACCAATATATGTATATAATATTCGTTTCATCCATTTTTCTTGGATATCCGAACTCCTCTAACTACATACTTATCCAGAACGAACGGCGCAGAGTGACGATCCAAGTGTAAGCTTGTGGCGGGGAGTACTAATTCCACCTGGCTATTTACACACTGGGAAAGAAAAGCATTAGCGAAGTCTACAGTTCATCAATGATCGCAGACGTGTGTTCATCTCACTTATCTCAAACTACGACTGTTTGCTAGGAGTGACAACGGCAAAAATATTAAAAAAGAACATCTACAGGGAGTTTAAAAAAAAGCGTTATGGAAATTCAACAGGTTGCTGTACATCATAAACGTGGCTAAAAAATTCAATTTTTACATGGGACGAAAGAACAATTATTTAGCTTTTTAATAATATTCCCTTTAACTCGTAACTGTGAGAATTAGATGGCCACATACTCGTCAAATAAAAATGGCATGTCAAAATCACATTCTTCCGCTTTTGGGAATTTCATGGAAAACGAAACGTAAACAATTCCCACGAGGAAAATAAAATTGAATGTTAAATGATCTAAAATAAGCTTAACCTTTTCAATTTTCGTCTTAGTAAGACGATAAGAACGTCATTATTGCATTAAAGATAGTTCATTAATTAACCGCCAAACAGAAAAAAATGTAATCAAAACATTTTACGACCCAAGTATTTTGCAGCAGACTCGGCGGAAGAATGTGATTTCAACCGAAATTTTTTAATTGACGAGTATGTGGCCATTTCCCATTCTTACGGTTTAAGAAATACAGTATATCATAGAAAAGCTAAATAACAGCTCTTTTGTTCTATGTAAAAATGGAATTGTTTAGTTAAGTTTGTGGTGCCCAATTACAGCCTGTTAAATTTTCATAGTATTTTTTTAGACACCCTGTATATAAGGAAAGTTTGGAAAATCGTTTCACCTAGAAAATTTTAAAACTTTTTCACTTTTTAAACGTAAACATTTGTAAGAATTGATTTGTTTTGAAAAATCCTAAAGTGTAGCGTAAGTTTGTTTTAATTTTTTATTGGTGACTATATATAACTTTGTATTAATATTCAAAATTAATAAATCTCGTTGTTCAATCCCTTTGCATTGTGTGCGAAAGTTTCGTAGTTAAATTAATTTTTGTAGAAGTTCATGATAAAAAGGAAAGCAAATAAGTTTCGATAAGAATTAAATTTATTTCATTTTAAAGTTTGCAGCGTGCGTTGAGTGTTGGCATAATTACGCGAATACTTTATGTTGAATCAATGTTTAGAACGTATAGACGAGGTGTCGTTGCATGCATGCATGCATGCATGTATTTCTAAATATATCTCTTTTGGAAAGAGGTATTTTAATGTTGAACACGTATACGCTGTTAAAACAGATTGGTTATAAAATAACCAGGTCGAAATTTCTGTCCAAGATTAATAATCATTTGTTTTCGATCAATATTTGGTCAAAACAATTTTAAGATTGGTTAAAATAACCCATGTTTTTTTCGAATATTTCCCCCCTAGGAGATATAATGGGTCCAGCTCTAACATATCTTGATGGACTGCTAGCAATGCCCTATGGTTGTGGTGAACAAAATATGGCTAGATTTGCTCCAAATATTTACATCATGGATTATCTTACAAACACAAATCAAGTTACAAGGAAAATAAAAGAAAATGCAATACGATATATAAACTCCGGTAAGTATATTTTCAGGATTGAATAATCATGTTTCATTATGGTGGATGACTATATAAGTTAGGCCACGTTATAGGCATAATTTTATTCATTCCTTTATATTAGTCCTTCCTTTTTATTTTTGTGTACGTCACGTACAAGTAGATGCATGCTGACTGAACTTGCCGTTCAAAACATGCGAACGACCAAGTTTACCAGAGGTTTGCTTTTCGTTGTGCTAGGAGAAATAATTATATAAAATTAGAATAGATTAATAGATCAATATTTCACATTTCATAACCAAAGTCGATAAATTATGTAAGTTGGTAATAGAAATATATAATCGTACTATTTAAACTAATATAATGAATTATTCGTTCGCATAACATGCGTTGGTATAATATCTCAATTTGCAGTATAGTGGCAATTCATGATAGTTTTGTGATTGATTCATGATTTATATTCGTGCGTTCATGTTTTCACACGCCAAGCAACGAAACATACTATTATAATAATTGTTTGATATAAACATTATAATTTTGTCAAGGAAACTCACAAACACGCAACATTTGCATGTAATATCCTATTCGACAAACCAACATTCTAAACCAAGAAAATTCTGATCCTCTTTTGCCAGGTAATTTCTTTCAGCAATGTATACTTTTTTCGATAATGAAATACGAAGACTATTTTTTGCAGGGTATCAAAGAGAAATAACATACAAACGAAAAAGTGGTTCATACAGTGCTTTTGGAAATTCAGACCCTAAAGGAAGTATGATGTAAGTCTAACTTTTATCTCCTATTAAGCATTTACCCTGTTTATGCCAAAGGAAAAGTTCAGCATATTAGGGTGAAATGGCAATATATTTTTTTATTTTCTCATTTGAAAGAACTTTTGAAACTGTTTGATAACTTTTTTTTACCGATTCTTTGTATTTTCCTTTATTCTTGAAATATTTGCACTTGAAGTAATGAGATGTCAGCCTTCTTCGATAATTTTTTTATCCCATTCACGGTAGTTTTGGTGACGTCACAACCGGGATTGACCATATAAAAGTATTCGTTGCCGACCAAATATCAATTGGGAGATGTTTTAAGGGTTTTAACTGATCATGATATTTCCAAAAGCACACAGAGTATAATTTTAATTAAACGCAAAAAAAATAGTGGTTGTCTAGATAGAAATATTGCGGGACCCGTGTTGTGACGTAACATGCATATCTACACAAATCCAAAATAGCGGACATTTAATTTTTTTCAATTAAAATATTTGTAGAGGTAAGCAAGATACTAGAAGAGTTTTGTATATGCTTTTTAATGTTATTTTAAACGAGAAAATAAAAAATATATTGCTATTTTCCTTTAAGAGTAAATTAATGTTACTCTGTACATATTAGTAGAATTTGTTTGGAACAGTCCGTTCCTCTTCCCAGAAGATTTAAACATTATTAATTACTTTTTTCGTAACTATTCGTTTTTGTATAGGTTAACAGCATTTGTAGTTCGTTCATTTACCCGAGCGCGCAAGTACGTCTTTGTCGATGAAGACGAAATCAAACACAGTATTGAATGGCTTCGGAAAAAGCAGAAACCTTCGGGCTGTTTCCCTAAGTACGGCAAACTAATTCATAGGTCACTTCAGGTAGGTGTCTGGGCGCTTTTGATGGCGATGTAGAATTTGGGATTCGCTGACTTCGTTAGTCATGTGGGTAACGTCTTTAGTGCGGAACATGATATATGATACGAAGTTTGCTTTTGCAGTATGACGGAACAACCATATATAGACAATAATATAATATAAAGATTTATCCCCGAGCCGGCGGCGCGAAGCTCCATGCGAGGGTACTAATTCGTCCCGGCTATTCATACCTGGGGAAAGAAACGCACTAGCGAAATCTAAAGTCCATCAAATATCGTGGGCGCATGGCTCACCGCGTTCATGGGTGGTCATTCTGAATAGTGAACACTGATTGGTCAAATTTGAAATTTGCGTTGTGACGACTGCATTGACGACAGCAAAATAACAATGCAAGTTGTATTTTTGCAAGATTTTGTAAATTTCAAAACCTTTCGGAGAGCTAAAAATGTCTAAAAACACCTAAAAGAATAGAGCAAAGTCGCCGACGTTAAAGAAAGTAAGTTTGTTTTAAATATTGATGTATTGTTTGTTTTATAATTGATATATTTATAACTGATAGTGGTGGGCGATACTGCACTAATACTAAGTTCTTTGTATGTTTGCATGGCGATAAAGTATAATTGTTTTTGTTGGTGGAAACACCACGTAAATTTATTTCTGCAAAGCTTTCGATCCGTAAGCCCGGATCTTCATCAGTGCTAGTAATATCTGACTTGTTTGAATTCCCACGCTCTTTTTATATACAAGAGTGTCGTGATCTGTTGTCTCGCGTCATTTGAAATTTAATTAAACGGCACACCAACCACGTCATTTCAAACGTAGTCACAGAATAGAAAATAATACCAGAAGCCTCACTGTACACCTTTCCTTTCCAAATTATGCCCGAGATTTTTTTATGCGCAGGCACGAGCCTACAAGTGTATTCCACTCCATCAAACGCGAGCAATTACGCCATCAATTGCCATCCCCATGTAATAAAGATTGCTGTTTTAACCGTTTTGCTGACGAACGATCACGTGATGTTCCCAGCAAGTGTCAAACATGTCATCTAGCGTGCAAAATTCGTGATCCGCAAAGCAAAAATCGCGGAAACGAAAATGTTAAGGAAAGGTGTACAGTGAGGCTTCTGGTTTTATTTTCTATTCTGTGACTACGTTTGAAATGAAGTGGTTGGTGTGCCGTTTAATTAAATTTCAAATGACGCGAGACAACAGATCACGACACGCTTGTATATAAAAAGAGCGTGTGAATTTAAACAAGTCAGATATTATTAGCACTGATGAAGATCCGGGCTTACGGATCGAAAGCTTTGCAGTAATACATTTACGTGGTGTTTCCACAAACAAAAACAATTCAACTAATACTATCATTGTGTATACATCAAGTGAACAAAGACAGCATGTAATTTCAGTGTAGCTGTAGTTTTATAAATTACTCTTTCTTTTTATATTAAAGTGTTTAAATAAAGAGGAAACCAAAGTTATTTTCATGTGAGAATTTGAAATTTATTTCAAATTTGAATTTATTTCAAACTCAATGTTTACCGATATTCGATAATTAATATCCGACAAAAGACCGTTTAGTTTTAAGAACATTTTAAAACGTTTTTGCGAAGCGTTTGTGATTGAATATTACCTTAAGTTGAAGCTTATATTACGTATAATAACATACCTAGCATGTATATGTTTGGGAAATTGATGAATTTGTTATTAAATTAAAGTGATATTTTGGGGGGATTTTTCAATTTTAAAACTGTTCTTAAAATTATCGTGTTACCATGTCAACTATTTCAATCCTTTTCTGCGTTGGCGCAGTGTACTCAAGTGATTATGATATTTGTGGTGTTACTCTGAGTGTATATCCACACAGGGCGAGCTTGAAAAATATGCCAAGTCACGGTGGGATTCGAACCTACGACCTTTGGAATACCAGCCCAATGCTCTTCCAGCTGAGTTACGCGGTCAGGACGGTTCGAGTAAGTGATATTTCGGAACAGAATCTAGTTCCTTCAATACCAATGTATTCTAGAAATATGAATGTTTTCTGCGTTGGTGTCGTGTACTCAGGTGAATATGATATTTACGGTGTTACTCTGAGTCTATATCCACACCGGGCGAGCTTGAAAAATATTCCCGGCCAAGGTGAAATTCGAACCTGCGACCTTTAGAATACAAGCCAAATGCTCTTCCAACTGAGTTACGCGGTCAGGACGGTTCGAGTAAGTGATATTTCGGAACAGAATCTAGTTCCGTTAATACCAATGTATTCTAGTATTGTGAATTTTCTTCTGTGTCGTTGTAGTGTACTAAGGTGAATATGATATTTGTGGTGTTACTCTGAGCGTATATCCACACCAAGCGAGCTTGAAACATATCCCCGGCCACGGTGGAATTTGAACCTGCGTCCTTTGGAATACCAGCCCTATGCTCTTCCATCTGAGCTACGCGGTCAGGACGTTTCGAGTATAAGTGATATTTCGAAACAGAATCTAGTTCCTTCAATACCAATGTATTCTAGTAATGTGAATTTTTTTCTGCGTCGGTGTAGTGTACTCAGCTGAATATGATATTCGTGGTGTTACTCTCAGTGTATATCCACACCGGGAGAGCTTGAGAATTATTCCCGGCCACGGTGGGATTCGAACCTACGTCGTTTGGAATATCAGCCCAAAGCTCTTCCAACTTAGTTACGCGGTTAGGACGGTTCGAGTAAGTGATATTTCGGAACAGAATCTAGTTCCTTCAATACCAATGTATTCCAGTAATATGAATGTTTTCTGCGTTGGTGTAGTGTACTCAGTTGAATATGATATTTGTGGTGTTACTCTGAGTGTATGTCCACACTGAGCGAGCTTGAAAATATTCCCGGCCACGGTGGGATTCGAACCTGCGACCTTTGGAATACCAGACCAATGCTCTTCCAACTGGGTTACGCGGTCAGGACGGTTCGAGTAAGTGATATTTCGGAACAGAATCTAGTTCCTTCAATACCAATGTATTCTAGAAACGTGAATGTTTTCTGCGTTGGTGTCGTGTACTTAGGTGAATGTGATATTTGTGGTGTTACGCTGAGTCTATATCCACACCGGGCGAGCTTGAAAAATATTCCCGGCCACGGTGGGATTCGAATCTACGACCTTTGGAATACCCGCCCAATACTCTTCCAACTGAGTTACGCGATCAGGATGGTTCGAGTAAGTCATATTTCGGAACAGAATCTAGTTCCTTCAATACCAATGTATTCTAGTAATGTGAATTTTTTCTGCGTGGTTGTAGTGTACTCAGGTGAATATGATATTTGTGGTGTTACTCTGAGTGTATATCCACACCGGGCGAGCTTTAAAAATATTCCCGGCCACGGTGAGATTCGAACCTACGACTTTTGGGATACCAGCCCAATGCTCTTCCAACTTATTTACGCGGTCAGGACGGTTCGAGTAAGTGATATTTCGGAACAGAATCTAGTTCCTTCAATACCAATGTATTCTAGTAATATGAATGTCTTCTGCGTTGGTGTAGTGTACTCAGGTGAATATGATATTTATGGTGTTACTCTGAGTGTATATCCACGCTGAGCGAGCTTTAAAAATATTCCCGGCCACGGTGGGATGCGAACCTGCGACCTTTGGAATACTAGCCCAATGCTCTTCCAACTGAGCTACGCGGTCAGGACGGTTCGAGTAAGTGATATTTCGGAACAGAATCTAGTTCCTTCAATACCAATGTATTCTAGTAATATGAATTTTTTTCTGTGTTGGTGTAGTGTACTCAGGTGAATATGATATTTGTGGTGTTACTCTGAGTGTATATCCACACCGGGCGAGCTTGAAAAATATGCCCGGCCACGGTGGGATTCGAACCTACGACCTTTGGAATACTAGCCCAATGCTCTTCCAACTGAGCTACGCGGTCAGGACGGTTCGAGTAAGTGATACTTCGGAACAGAATCTAGTTCCTTCAATACCAATGTATTCTAGTAATGTGAATTTTTTTTCTGTGTCGTTGTAGTGTACATAGTTGAATATGATATTTGTGGTGTTACTCTGAGCGTATATCCACACCTGGGCGAGCTTGAAAAATATCCCCGGCCACGGTGGGATGCGAACCTAAGTCCTTTGGAATACCAGCCCTATGCTCTTCCATCTGAGCTACGCGGTCAGGACGGTTCGAGTATAAGTGATATTTCGGAACAGAATCTAGTTCCTTCAATACCAATGTATTCTAGTAATGTGAATTTGTTCTGCGTCGGTGTAGTGTACTCAGCTGAATATGATATTCGTGGTGTTACTCTGAGTGTATATCCACACCGGGCGAGCTTGAGAAACATGCCCGGCCACGGTGGGATTCGAACCTACGTCGTTTGGAATACCAGCCCAAAGCTCTTCCAACTTAGTTACGCGGTTAGAACGGTTCGAGTAAGTGATATTTCGGAACAGAATCTAGTTCCTTCAATACCAATGTATTCTAATGTGAATTTTTCTCTGCGTCGTTGTAGTGTACTCAGGTGAATATGATATTTGTGGTATTACTCTGAGTGTATATCCACGCCAGGCAATCTCGAAAAATATCCCCGGCCACTGTGGGATTCGAACCTTCGTCCTTTGGAATACCAGCCCAATGCTCTTCCATCTGAATTACGCGGTCAGGACGGTTCGACTAAGTGATATTTCGGAAAAGAATATGCAATCTTTGCCAAAAAACTATAAGACAAATAGTGAAAGTTGATATAACTTCTTCTGTCCATTTCCCCCCGAGCCCCCCGTTCAATGCTGATGTCACAAAAAATGGATACATCGCAAACGAGACGTCATCTGGCATCAACGCAACATTGAAAAGGGTGGGGGGAGGGAGGGATGAATATTCACGTGGAAAAGTTGTACAATGTCTATATAACGTTTTTGAAACTTCATTGTCCCATAGTATATTGTCAAAGATTGAATCTTTGCCAAAAACTATGAGACAAATAGTGAAAGTTGACATAACTTCTTCTGTCCATTTCCCCCGCGCCCCCCGTTCAATGTTGATGTCACAAAAAATGGATACATCGCAAACGAGACGTCATCTGGCATCAACGCAACATTGAAAAGGGTGGTGGGAGGGAGGGATGAATATTCACGTGGAAAAGTTGTACAATGTCTATATAACGTTTTTGAAACTACATTGTCCCATAGTATATTGTCAAAGATTGTAGTTACTTCAATACCAATGTATTCTAGTAATGTGAGTTTTTTTCTGCGTTGGTGTTGTGTACTCGAACCGTCCTGACCGGGTAGCTCAGTTCGAAGAGCATTGGGCTGGTATTCCAAAGGTCATAGGTTTGAATCTCACCGCGGCCGGGCATATTTTTCAAGCTCGCCTGGTGTTGATATACACTCAGGGTAACACCACAAATATCATATTCACCTGTGAGTACACTACACCAAAGCAGAAAAAAATTCACATTACTAGAATACATTGGTATTGAAGGAACTTCTATTTATTTAACTTCGCAATTATCATGCATTCATGGCAGGGTCACCACAACAGTATGTGGTACCAATTACTGTGGGCCCTTTAAATTTTAAATAGATAATAAAGCACAAATAAAACAAGACGAAAACTTCGATTTACCCGATCAAAGTCATCACACGAATTGGAACTTGAAGCCAAGCAAAAAAATTCCTCGTTGTATTGTATATCACAAACATACTTAATTAGCTGCTTGCAAATTTTGTAAAACATATAAAATAACAATTTATAGAATATAAAATAGCTATTGAAACATAATATACAAGGCTAGGAAGATCTGACAACTTCGAAAAAGGGATAAAGGAAAGAGATAAGACGAGTGAGAGAGGAATGGAGCTACCCTGCTGATTCAAAGTAGGTTACAGCTTTGAGATGAGACTTTCTCGGACGAAAAGTTCATGTGTAGAGGAACAGAATGATAGGATCTTAAAATCATCAAGAGAAGCAGTATGACCTGAGTGGTTCAGATGGGAAAAGATGCTCGTAAGTTGAGGACTGCTACTCGTCTTACCAGTTAACTGTTTATCGACAAGCGACATTTGGACGAATTTACGACTCATTGTTTATAACGTAAATATCTCAGCGCGTATTCACCCCCCTTTAAAACAAAGAATACCATTTAAATAAAATAACCTTTTTCAACGGGGAGGTCGAATGCCGTCAAAGCATCAAACAAACCGAAACAATCATATATTTACCTACCGCTTGGCCAAACATTCGGAATTTTGTTTCCCCAGTAGCGTGAAATTCTCATAGTTAGAGCAAATATTGAAAAAGCGGTGTAATAGTGAATATATTAAACCACGTCCGAATTGTTTTGATTGAATAAATCATAACAAAATATTATTCAGAGTTACTGTTCTTTTGTATTTTATAAAAATACAATACCGAGTGGTTCCCGTAAATATATTCCCGTTTTTCTTGCATATCTCAATCGCCAACATCTAAACATTAACTTTACGTGTGCAGTTGAATCCAATTGACAACTTTCCTTCCTTGACATTACTATCACACGTGCTAATGGCCACTTTGAAACCTCTGTTTGTCGTAAACCTACATTCACAGGGCTTTTCACTAATTTCCATAGCTTCACTCCTCTACAATTCAAACGTGGTTTAATATATTCACTATTACACCGCTTTTTCAATATTTGCTCTAACTATGAGAATTTCCATGCTCAGATTGAGTTTTTTTAGAAAAATCCTCAACCAGAACGGTTATCATACTCATCGTTTTGATCGTTGTGTTCGACTCTTCCTTGACAAAATCTTTCAACTCAAGGAATTAATCCATTCTCTGTCAAGGAAAGTGGTATACTTTTGTCTTCTGTATACCGAAACACACTCTCTCCAAATCCGTAACCAAATTCAACGCCTTTGCTCTGTAGCCTTCCCAAATATAAACAACAGAATCGTTTATTGTCCCGCTCTATGTCTGTCCAATTTCTTCATGTTTAAGGACAAACTTCCCAACGCTTTGAGGTCTTGTATATTTTATTCTTTTAAGTGTCGATGCTGTTCCGCGTCCTATGTGGGCCAAACGGTCCGCCATCTACATACACGAGCCTCTAAACACCTGGGTATTTCTGCCTTAACTTGTAAAACGAGTAGCAGTCCTTAACTTACCAGCATCTTTTCCCATCAGAGCCACACAGGTCATACTGCTTCTCTTGATGATTTTAAAATCCTATCATCCTGTTCCTCTCCAGATGAACGTCTCGTCCGTGAAAGTCTTCTCATCTCAAATCTCAAACCTACTTTGAATCAGCAAGGTATTTCCTTCCTCTCTCACTCCTCTGATCTCTTTCCTTTAACTCCCCCCACCCCCCCTCGTCCTCACTTCTATTACCCTGTAATTTGATATTGTAAATAGTAATTTATTCATATTTGTAACTCATTGTCATACTATATTCATTTACTCTGAAGATGTCTTAGGTTAAAGACAAAATGTTAGTACTTCTTAAATAAATATTTATATTATATTATTGTCTATACTACGATTACGACTCCCGCCTGGTTCATCACTTGCAAGTAGGCGGAACAACCAGTTAATGGCCGGTTGTTCGTATGATCTACTCGATGTTAAATACAGAAACACTTCCTGCATGGCCTTACTGGAAAATTCAACATTTTTTTCCGAACCGATGAATTATATTAAATAGTTGTCGTGGTTGCACTAACAAATGATTCTAGAAAAATACTTTTAAAATATAAAACCTGCTCAAAATATCAATTTTAGTTACAAAATTATTCATTTTAAAAATGCATACGTTATAGGTATGCTATAACAAGCATTATAAGCTTCAATTTAATGCGAATTATTACTACAAACTCTTGGCAAAATATTTTAAGAACTAAAATGCATTTTATGGATAAAGATTGAGTTTGAAATAAAATGATTTCAAAGATCAAGATCTCGTATTGCGTATGCGAATAACGTTAATTTCATCTTTATCAGATATTTTAATCCCCGAGGCGACGGCACGAAGCGCCGTGCGACGGTACTAATTCTCCCCGGCTATTTACAGCCTGAAAAAGGATTGCACTAGCAAAGTCTAAAGTTCATAAAATATCGCGGACGCGGTTCATGGGTGTTTGGGTGGTCATCTCGCTGATTTCAAAATATTGCTGTTTGCCAGGAGTGAAGAACGGGAAAATTTAAAGAATATACGTAAAAAGCTTGGAAAAATTGTTTCACGTAACTGGTTGTAAAAATTTTCTTCAATTTTTAAAGGTAAACATTAACTAAGAATTGATTTAATATGATAAGTTTTAAAGTATAGGGCAAGTTTGCATGTCTCAATTGTTTATGTATCCATGACTTTGTATTAATATAGATTTTGTTCTTGTTGTTCAAGTCTTTCCTATACATTGTACGCGCAAGTTTCTTAGTTAAATTAACTTTTGTAGAAGTTCATGATAAAAAGGAAAGCATGACAAATCATTTTCAATAGCGTGCTCTACGAGTTAAATTTATTTCATTTCAAAGTACGAGTAATATGTTGAAGAGGTTAATATCGTCAAAAACCGTTAAAATTCAATTCACATTTAAAAACGTTTTTAATACGTCGTTTCGTTTTGAATTTTACATTAGAATAAAGCACCAAGAAACCAAAATAATATACCTACCTATTTTAAGAAATTAATAGTTATGTAGTTAAAAATATATATTATTAATTAATTAAAAGTGTTCAATTTCATCACAGAATAAAGACATACAGAAGTCTAACATCCATATACAAAACCGTAAGGCGTTTTTAACGAAATAGCTGGCGGCCATGTTCTTATCAAGTGTCCTTAAGAGAAGCATTCACACTCCTGGAATATTAAATTTTTAATATATTTTCAGGGGGGTGACTGCCTGTCTTTAGAGCACTAGCTAAGAACATGACGGACTTAAAATATTTCCTTACGCGAAACTAACCGGAATTGAGATCTCTGTATGTACTTCCTCTGTGATTTCATCTACTTTTAGCGCGTTTGACGTTTGTAAAAATTTTTTTGAAAAATTGTCGTGTTGCCATGACAAACATGACGTGCAATGCAAACCTGCGTTAAATGTTGGCGTAATCACGAATACTTCATGTTGAAACAATGTTTGGAGAATAGAGGCGATGGGTTGTTGCATGCATGTATTTCTAGTATAATATAAAAAAGTAATTAGAAACAGACGTATACCATCATTCGGTTTTCTGTTTTCCTGATTTTTTGTCAAGAACAAATAAACTATATTGCAGTAGATGTTGGTGTTTTACTCCCCTTTCTTTTTTAGTAAGTTTTTCTTTTTTTTTCATTTTTCTCCTCTTAATTTGGTTCAAGGCGAAACTTTTCGACCAAATCAAAATTGCTTTTGTCTTAAAAGCAAGATGGAACTAAACAGAATCTTTTGAATTTGAACAATTGAAATTTTGGTTTGATCGAAATTTCGGTTCGACCGAATCGAAAACAAGCACTCAGATGGAGTAAATAAGAAATTTCAAAATAAAAATTTCGGTTCGATCGAAACATTTCGCCTAGTGAAAAACCGCCTTAAGTGTTGGAATTGTTTCTTATACAAATGCAAATTTGATTTCTTTAAATTTGTTTATTCATATATATTTGAGATATTTATGTTAAACTTCATCACATTTACTATTTCCAGGGTGGATTGAACAGTGAACTTACGATAACGGCATATGTGACTATAGCGTTATTAGAAGCAGGTTTTTATAGCAAGGTAAAGTATTAGATAGCAAATCTATCGGATCTAATCTAAGTAGGCCTGTATGGACTCCACGCAATTAAAATGCTTGACAGTGCGCTGTTTTCATTCTTTTGTGGCAGCTATACTATTATACCCCAGCCTTCAAATTTCCTGAATTCACGAGCTCCATCTACTGGCCTCTAGAGAATTGAAACATCTCTCCAGATTTTCTTTTCACATATGCACCAGAGGAGGTTGGAAGCCCTTCCCGGCATGCATTGTAACTCATTCATATTATCGATTTCCCGGGATGCGCCGTCATTGTTCGACTGGCTCTCGTTGTGTTTACTACTCAATTTACAAGGAGCGATATTCAAAAGTACAAATTGAAAATTGTAAATCATGGCGAATTTTCGTACTGTTCGTGGCAACAAAGCTACTGATTTAGATGGACGTGACAATCTTTATGTAAATTGTGTGTCGAAAGAGCGACTGGAGCTGCTTCGTGAAGGGATGTAGAACTTCTA